ATGGTCCACCGTGTCAAATGCAGCTTTTAGATACATATAAGCAGCATACGACTTGCCATCGTACTTGAACGTACTGAAGGTGAAGGCCGGATTCAAACTGTTGGAAGTTCTTGAGGGCACTCCCCCGAAAACGTCACCGGATGTAGTGAACGAACCTTACTCGAACGCTATGAAACGATTGAAGGAGTTCTTTGGATCTCGCGAGTACAGCCTTATGCAACGACAGAAGTTAAGAGCGATGGTACAGGTACCGGATGAATCCGACGAAATACGTGAAGCGAGTAATTGCGGCGGCTAAATTGTGTGACTTTGATGGCGACAAGTTAACGGAAAGTGTAGCGGAAGTAGTACAGTTGCACGCATTCAACATTAAGGTGCGAGAAGCTGGTCGTAAGATACTTCGTAAGGGAGGATCGTTGACAGAGTTCGTCGATAAAATTCGCGGGTATGAGTTGGACAAGACAAACGAGGAAATTTTTGCGAAGACGCACCCCCCCCCACCGTAGGAGCCATTGTAGCAGCTATTACGCATGGGCAGGCAGGAACAAGCTATCATCAGCGTTCACAGTACCAAAGTGGACCGTCTAAAGGATTACTAGGAAGGAACCATGGCTATCCAGGACGAGTAGGAAACTGGCAGAATTTTGGAGGTACTAGCGGTTACCGTCGCCGGAACGACGCAAGAGCTGGCACCGAGGGTGTACCATGCTGGAGATGTACCAGCCGCTTTCATTCTCCAACCAACTGCCATGCAATGGAGAAAGTGTGCCGTAACTGCCAGACCGTTGGTCATATCGAACGTGCCTGTCGGAAGATGCCAACACCGATTGCACCCAAACGCCGGATCAGTGATGAAGGAGAGAGTTCGACCAAGCCCAAGAAAATTGCTATCGTTTCAAAGGAAGAGGACAAAAATGAGGAAACGAGCGATAGCGTGACACAAGCATTGCTGCAAAATCTCGACAGTACACGGTGATATTGACAATTCTGCTTTGGTCACTCATTTTAGCTAACAGTCATAGTCAAAGCAAACCATGTCAATTGTCAATGACAATGGTGTCAGTGACGAACATGTGCAGATTTGTTTATTAGCTAAATTTGTAACAAAATTAAATGACTTGAGCAAAACAATTACATGGATCCATTTTAGTGAACAAGTATCTACGTCCTGAGCTACTTGGATAACAATAATGTGACACAGAATGTACTAAATTGCACTTTTTGTTACCAGGTGAATCTTTGTCATTGACGAAAAAATGAATGAGATTTTGACGAAGGTTTTTTTGAGGATCAAGTCTGTCAGTGACTATGTGACGAACAATTTTTTCAATATCGCGCGAAAGTCTGTCAATGACAATGACAAATCTCAGCACTGGACACAAGAGTCGGTATCCGTTAATAGATGCTACGATTTGGATAACCAGGAAGGAAGCATTCTCGGTCGTATTGCAAACGTACCCGTGGTTTTTTTAATTGATTCCGGTGCAGAAGTCAATACGGTTGACGAGGATATTTTCAATACACTTATGAGCGACGAGCGTTCCAAGGAGCAACTGTTCAGTGTTTCGAGAGGTACAGACAAACCACTCCGTGCGTACGCTAGCCATGGCGAGATAACTGTTATAGGTACATTCGTTTCTGAGTTGTTCGTTTCCGAAGACCGACCTTGTTCTTTCGAAAAATTTTACGTCATAAAAAATGCTAGACCGTTGCTGGGCAAGGATACCGCACTCCGATACAGTGTCTTACAGATTGGGCTGGGCGTACCCGTTGAGAGGACGTTATCTTGCAGTAACTCCTTCAGATGGTTCCCTGGTGAGATTCTTGCTGTAACGACATCTGACGAGTTCCCTAAGTTTAATGTTCCACCGGTGGTATTAATGTATGATGCAAGCAGACCCGCGTCTCGCAACGTTTTCACGAATATCCCCTTGCCATTTCGAGCAGAAGCACAGCGAAGACTGGGAGATCTCTTGGCATCTGGCATAATAGAACATGTTACGGATTCCATGGATAGGTCTTTCTGCTCATGCCTAAGGGCAAAGACGATATTCGACTCGTGGTGGACCTCAGAGGGCCCAATAAGTGCATCATACGAACGCCTTTCAGAATGCCTACGCTGGAAGAAATTCTTTCTGATCTCCATGGCGCCAAGTGGTTTTCCACTATCGATTTGACCAGTGCCTTCTTCCACGTGGAAGTTGCTGAACAGTCGCGGCATTTGACCAATTTCTTTGCGGGTGACGCTACGTACCGTTTCAAACGATTACCTTTTGGACTCTGCAATGCTCCTGATATATTTCAGGAAATATTGCAGACGAAGGTACTAGCAGGATGCCGAGGTCAGAAGTGCTATCTAGACGATGTTATAGTGCACGGTGCAACAAAAGAGGAACACGACGAAAACCTGAACGCTGTGCTCTGTCGGCTTCACGAACATAATGTGCGAATCAATATGGACAAGTGCGTGATCGGTCAGCAGAAAGTTAAGTTCATAGGGTTTTCAATTTCCAATGAAGGCCTGCGCGTCGAAGATGAGAAATTGAAAGCAATTAAGAACTTCCGTAGACCAGAGACCGTGCATGAAGTAAAGAGTTTTTTGGGGTTTATGAATTTTTCGGAGCGGTTCATTTATATGCGGGCAGACAAAACCAAGCACTTGAGGGAGCTAGCAAAGTCCGACTTGTTTTACTGGTCCCGGGAAGAAGAAGATGAGTTCATGTTTCTAAAGCACGAAGCCCTGAAGTCGATTTCCCGGCTAGGCTATTTTAATTACGAGAACGAGACCGAACTTTACGTGGATGCATCTCCCGTTGGCCTAGGTGCGGTTTTGGTTCAATTTGACCCGGAGGGAGCACCCCGAATTATTTCGTGCGCTTCGAAGGCTTTGGCGCAGACAGAAAAAAGTACCCGCAAACCCAGAGAGAAGCACTGGCGATCGTATGGGGAGTGGAACGTTTTGCGTTTTACTTGACAGGAAAATCGTTTGCCATCCGGACTGACTCTGAGGCAAACGAGTTCATTTTCGGTGACGAACACAGAACAAGTAAACGGGCGGTTACTCGGGCTGAGTCGTGGGCCTTAAGGCTACAGGCATTTGATTTCGTCGTAAAGCGTATATATAGGGCATATAGAGCAGACCTAGGAAAGTGACACAGAGCTTCTCGCAGTAAAAATGTCCATAGGATCTCGGTGTTGGCCAGACAATCTCCGAAGATATGAGGCCGAATCGAAATCTTTGCGTTTGTTGGGATCAATAATTTTCAAGGATGATAAGATTGTACCTGCTACTGTTCTTCGTACAAAGGTATTGACGACGGCTCATCAAGGCCATATTGGATGGGCGGCGATGAAACGCATTATGAGAGAGTACTTTTGGTGGCCAAATATGAGTAAGGATGTGGAGTTGTTTGTAAAGGGCTGCGCAACATGTCTGGCTATCTCGAGAAAGAATCCACCAGTACCTCTAACGAATCGCTCTTTGCCCGATGGACCATGGCAAGTGCTACAGATTGACTTTTTGTCCGTACCAGGTTGTGGATCAGGGGAATTTTTAGTCGTGGTCGATACCTATTCAAGGTATATCGCTGTCGTGGAGATGAAAAGTACTGATGCAAAGAGTACTAACATGGCACTCAATCGAATCTTTTTGACCTGGGGATTGCCGTTGACCATACAGAGCGACAATGGACCACCATTTCAAAGCAGTGAGTTTATCGAAAGATGGGAAGAAAAGGGCGTAAAGGTCAACAAATTGATCCCTCTGAACCCGCAGTCCAACGGTGCCGTCGAACGTCAAAATCAGGGCATCATTAAAGCCTTGGCTGGTGCCAAACAAGACGGTTGTAGCTGGAAGGATTCGCTACAAGCATATGTACATGCACACAACACTATCAAGCCACATGCACGCCTTGGCATTACGCCCTTCAAGTTATTGGTTGGTGGGGTGGCGATACCGTGGCTTCTTTCCGAGTTTGTGGGAGTCTAAGCTAACCAAGGAATTGGATAGATCTGATGTGCGAGATCAGGATGCGGTTGCGAAATTGGTGAGTAAGAAATACGCAGACCATCGCCGAGGGGCAAAAGACTCTGACATCGCTGTGGGTGATAAAGTGGTACTTATGATCCCAAAGAAAAATAAGACGGATGCAGTTTTTTCCACTGAACAGTACACAGTACTAACACGTCAAGGAGCAAAGGTTGTCATTCAGAATGAGCAGGGCGTACAATATGCCCGAAATGTCGCCGATGTTAAACGTGCTTTAAACCCGGGCTTGTCGTTGGAAAAGGTGTCAACATCCAGTGCAAAATACCCCGAAGAAGAAGATTCTGCTCCTCCAGGGGATGAAATACCAGGAAGTAGTGACGAGAGACCCAGAAGAACATTCAGAAAACCAGAGAGACTGAGGAATATGTTTTTGTACCACATTTATCGGTAGAGTAGGAGAGGGGGTGAATGTAGGGAATTCACGCTAGCGGCTGTTTCGATAAATTGCCAAAAATTGCTCAAATTTTACGACAACAGCACTGGCCTTTTCCCATCTCCTGAATAGCAAAATATTGTGACAAATTGTAACCTTCTTGGAGTATTGACCCTGTTAGCATGAGACAATTCAATAGCCCGACCCTATAATAATGCAATCCGTTCATAGACGAGGATCAATTAGCTCATTTGATGATTAAAGATATTTTCGAAGTGCAAAGGACATTCACGTTGCACCCTCATTACAATGTTTGTTTTGTTCTAAAACCATTCCAAAAAGCGTTGTTGCGTAACCTTCATTGCGATATAAAAACACCGATTGACTTGAACATCAGAACAATGGAACGTATATATCCAATACCAGCTGCTCATATACAATTTCAATGCAGCTCATTCATACAACCCGCTAGAAGCTGTTTCTAATTGTTTAGGTTAAACATTTGCTGCAACACAAATGAGAAATTTTTGCTTTAAAAACGGCCTGAATCGACAAGATGTTATCATTCCAGTAAGAACGATGAAGGTTATCATATCTCGTAAGTCGTATCCAATTACTATGTTCTGAACATTTAATCAGCATACACACTTTATATCAACAGTTGCTCTGACAGCGCTCGTAGCAGTTTGCAGTGGGCAAACCACCAACTATTGTACCGCGGGCTTATGTTCAGCTGGTAAAACTCATATTGCGTGCAATGGGCTGACAACTCTCAGCAGTACCTGTGGGGCAGGTGCTTCTGAAGCGACCCTGGACAGCACTAAGAAGAACTTGATCGTGAACGTTCACAACCAATTGCGTAACACTGTCGCCCTGGGAAAACAGGCCAACGGTGCGGGCCAGTATTTCAATCAAGCCGCCAAGATGGCTACGTTGGTAAGCATATCTTTTGGAGCGATAATTCGTATTGATTTTAAATTAATTCCCCTGTCTTTTTTAGCAATGGGACCAAGAGCTGGCCGATATCGCTGCTGCCAATGCAAGAAGTTGCGTTTTCGGGCATGACAAGTGCCGCAATACGGCTACCATGAAGTACGTTGGCCAGAACATTGCCATGTCTTCGTACTCCGGTATGAGCTTTACCGATGAGGAATTAATAACCGGGTTTGTCAACGATTGGTTCAAAGAAAATAAGGATGCTACCGCATCGCAAATGGCAAGCTATCCTGCTAATTACAAAGGGTGAGATTGCGATTTGATCGAAGTCAAAATGCAAGAGTTAAATACTTATAATGGTTTCATTGCAGCCCTACAATCGGTCACTTCACCCAGGTCGTATCGGACCGCTCGAGCAAGGTGGGATGCTCTTTGGTGAGCTACATTCAGGACGATTTCGTCAACCAGCTGTTTGTGTGCAACTACGGGTTAACTAACATTGTCAAACAATCAGTCTACGTGGCAGGAACGGCGTGCTCCAAATGTACTATCGGTTGTAATACCGCATATCCCGGCCTGTGCAGCGCAGCCGAACCCATTACCAACAACCCCTAAGTGGAAAGGATGTAAATTTATGAATCGTTGTTGTGTTTGAACATGAAAAAAAAAATAAGTTAATCAAATTGTGTTCTAATGGTCAGTCATCATTTCATTCCAAATACAGCAAAAATTTTGCAGAAAGCTATATCAGCGTTTTCCCACTTTTCTTCTTCTGATGTATACATTTTCGCTCGACACAGCAAACCATGCAACCGGTTGGCATCGGTAACGGCAATGGCTACTAAGGTTCCACGCTGGCAACAGCACAACACAGTTTCACAGTCTGACTTCTAGCCTTTTTTTTCTGTGCAGCAGGAAGTCTCGGCACTCTCGGTGGGAAGACTGTCAACATTAAACTACAGTCTTCCGCAGAGAAATATGACGTGATGGTGGCTGTTTCCTGATTGCAACACTTCCCGCTACTGATAAATACTAAAATTGGTTACACTGTACCACATTATCGCACGACAAGCGACACACACTCACAACACGCTGTAAAGTTCAACGCTGTCAAATGCCAAGTCGGGACGAAATGTGAGAGTCAACGAAAACGAATGAAAAAATAGATGAAAAAAAACTGCTTTCAACAGATGAATTACGTAATGATAAAATAAAAATATAAGGTTTTACAATGGCTTCCTGCTACTCCCTCTTACCATTTCTATAGCTTACAGGAGGGATGGGAAGGAATGTCTCCACCCGTCACCTAGCATAAAGAGACGACAATGACGACGACGCTGGAAAAAATAAAATAAAATCTAGTCCACGATGAGTGATAACTTTAATAACTTTACCACCGGACTCCACAACTTCCTGGATGGAACTCATCACACTTCCCTTGCTGTGATGTACATATTCGTCGGGGCGTTGAGCGGTGAGCGCCTCTTTTGGCCCACTAGCCGACCGGAGGGTAATGATACCTTCCGTCCGGAGCCTTTTTTCCCGCTTGATGGTCACACTTCCGCTCATTCCATTTTTCTCTCTTTTGTTGGAAACTTTTGTACATTGGATCGTTTTGATTTCAGCTTTTCCGAGGATTTCGAGCCAGCAGAGCGCGGCACCGGGCATGACGTGGTTGATGATGAGGACTTATCGAAATTCGCTACAACACCGTTTTTGGGATTGGCACTGGGCTGCAGTCGGGGAAGGCTGAAATTTTAATTAACTTTGCACGCGGGTAGAGATTATTGTTGTTTTACGGAACCGGATTAGCTGGAGCTTACCGTTTCCCGTTGACGCTTTAGAAAAACGAAAAAAGTTGCCGGCTCTTTCCGTCGGTGTGTTTTTGTTTCGAATTAATTCTGGAAACAATTCCGCGGAAATGCGTTGCCAGGGTTTCAAATGGGATTGAAGTTCTTCGGAATGGAAGTTTCGTAAATGATGGTAATCGATAAGATAAGTAGGGAATGACTATACTTAATACTGATGAATATTAATTAGAGCATTGCAAGAATTAAATAATCACGTGAATAGCGATTGAATTAGGCCGCGCAGAAAACGTGTTGTTGTGCTGCGTATTTTTTCCTTTCATTTGGGGGAGAGGTAGCTCATCGATTCTTCCGGTTCACCTCCTAGCATCGTGCTATAAGGTACCAGGTGATAACCAGGGTAGTTGATCGATAGCTCGATGACGTCATTTCGTTGGCGTCTGCAATGGGAAATTCTCATAGCAGGCGTTGACGATGGGACGTTGTCGAGTTGTTGAATAGCAACTATCGTGGTAACTCACCGATTACCTGTCGATCTGCCAAATTTGGAAAAACGTCTGCATTGAATTGTCTCGTATAATAATATTCCGCCCACTATTTCACAAGAAATTGCGAGTAGCTGAGTGGAATGGAGATAAGTTAAGCATTGGATACAGGACCAAGTATCCCCTGGGTGGTGCCAGAAGATGAGCGCAATAGAATCATCAAGTTGCCATAAGGCACGGAATGAGACTATTGCATGGCTGGGTAGTCAAAGTCTTCCATTCGTTAGTCATTTCAGGTGGATTAGAACAGATTTAGGTGGGCGTTGGCCAGATTTGGATTTTTCAGACGTAATCCTGGATAGGACCCTGTCATTGAACGTCGCGTGAAAGTGGAACTTAATGAAGGCCTAAGTACTTTTTCGTAGTTTTTAGTTTTCGGATTGGAAAGATCGTCGGTTACAGTGGCCTGCTTACTGAGCAGAAAAACGCGGTCCCAGGTCCTTACATATCAAAGAGATTTATGGTAAAATCGCTTGTGTATCGTGTATTTTGCGAAACTCGTTGTTGTCGTTGGTTCCGGGTTTGAATGGATACACAAATTTGAGCAACGGTATTATGTGATATGAGGGGCTCGGTGGCCTTAGAGCAACCGTTTTTGCTTACTGAGCAGAAAATCATGAGTCTAATCTCAGGCCCATCCACATTCAAGATTCGTCAATCGTTTTATTTGTTAATATGACTACATGGTAATAACAGAAAACTCGGTGATTAAAAAGGTGCTCGTCTGCCTAGTGGCAAACGTTTTTGCTTACTGAACAGAAGGCCGTGGGTTTAGTCCCAAGCTCCTTCGCGTTATAAGATCGTTAGGACATCAATTCAGCTTATCGTTTAACAAAATGAACCCTGCTGCAAACCCAACCCTCTTATCCAACATTCCAGTGATTCCTCGCGGAAGTGCAGAGGTGTTCTCGGCTTCCATCAAAGCGAGTGTCATGTCAACACAATCCTTCCCATTCCTTTCTTGACATGTGTTCGGGCGCGGCCGGCGCTGGTATTGCCTAATTTAAGATCACCAGTTTTTACACATTGAGGATGATTGCTAGTCCCAAGCATCGTCTATTGGTTCTCTGTGTAATTATAGCTGATCTGGCAATAACAGAGTAGCAACCGTGGGCGGTCAATCAAGCTCAAGCTCAAGCTCAAGCTGCGTATTTTTTCCTTTCATGAATTGAAAACTTAGCATGCCCCCAGGTATACTTCCAAGTGTCCAAGAAGGGATTAGTGTCGTTTTTTCCGTTGTTCGTTGTGCTTTATACCCAATATTTGGCTGCTGAGCCGGTGAAAGTCTTTCGGAAGCCTTTTGTTCAACCTGCTATCGAACATAAAAGCACATGTCTTGTTAAGAAGCATACTTGTTCATCTCTGTCGGATGCTCGATTATTGCTTGGATTGTAATACCGGTAATATCGGTACTGGTTTTACCGGTAATACCGAGGGATTTTTTAGTGCCAAAATACCGGTACTTGCATGTGAGAATCCGGTATTTTCGGGACTTAATATTGTAACCAGTCAGCCTTACGAGTTTCCCGGGTATTAAATGAGGTGGCTTATGCGCCACTCCTTTTGGAGACCACCTACCTGTTGACGGTATTCCCGGCCGTTGATACCCTCAGGAAAGGGTCGAATTACTCCCGAACATAGGAAGGGAAACAAGTTGACTAACGCGAAGTCTCGGCAACGGCCTAATTGCGGGTATGGCCTGAAAGCCGCGAAAAGAACCACATTCACGGGAAAATAGACGAGCTTAGCTGAGAGCGGAAATTAAACTCACCGATTTCTCATCACAGGGAGACCTGGCCGACCAAACGTCAGACCGTTCAAAACTTGGGAGCGATCTTGGTTGATATCGGGTAACCTCAGTAAAAGAAACAAAATGGAAATTACGACACGTATAACATGCAAACCTTTCAGTAACTTTCTTTAACGATAATAATAATTCATGTAGGCAGATCTATCAGTGAAATTTTAGTTTCTCCCACATTTATTTCTCCTGCCTATCTTCTAGCGACAACGACATTTGTACGATTTCAACCAGGAGTTTGACATATAGCTGAATACACGTACTCAACATCAAAACAACAAAACATATCATGGTACCGCTGACAACGTTGCAGATGTTCGGTACGCAGCAAACTTAATCAATATGACAGCCATATCCATCCGAGATGTTTTTAAGACAGGTGGGCAGGAACTCACGGTCTCCCAGTGTTGGTGAGTTCTTTACCGTTAATGTTCACGAGAAGTTCACTATTTTGCCATACAGAAATTCAAAACATAAAATTTTTTTGGGCGAATTTGGACGGTTTTTGACTTGTTTCATATGACCAGAAGGTGTACGCTGGTCACCAGGGTTGCTTCCACTTGCTATAAACAATTGTTTTTCTGTATTATGCAATCATTAGGTATAATAATGATGATTAGTACTTGTAAGCTACAAGAAAAGTTTGTGAACTAGGTGTTTGACACATAAAACCTGTCATTATTGCATTCAGTGCTTCACAATCAGCGATTATACGATTTTTGAGCGCTCACTTCGAGTGAACGCTCACGAGTCATAAATTCGCTGATTGTGACGCGCTGAAAGCGAAATTGACAGTTTTTATGTGTGAAATGCATACTTTCTAACCTTTTCTTGATTCTGACAAGTACAAACTATCATAATAGCATCCAATGATTCCATAATTCAGAAAAACTTTTTTTATAGCGAAGTGAGTGGAAGTAACCATGCGTCACAAATGCCGTGCCAAACTGATTTTCTACGCAATTAATCAACATTTGATTTCGCTAATAAACACGAGGAGCATTTCTTATAGCAAAGCTTGCCATAACAAAATGGGCATAGTTCATTTTAGTTAACAAACTAACACTTCTTCCGTCTGTGACACCTCTCTTACTCGCCTAGACCTCGTAAATACGCTGGTTTGTGGACTTTGCGAGGGGTACGGTCGTCGCGACTCTGCTGAAAACGTGCTCGTCGATGAACAGCGATGACTGGTGTGGTTTTGGCGCCAATGAGGTTGAAGCGCGTTCTGCAAACCCTACCAGGGTTCCGCACTGCCGGGGAAACTCCGTAACTGACAAGTGAGATCAGAAGCTATCACTGACTGGTTGGTGTGATGTCACGGGTTCTGCAAAATGGCCATAAACCGAACGGAAAAACGTGACACCGTTTGGCATCAAAATTTCCACACGCCCAAATCACCCCGTTAAAGAACGTATTACCTGATAATCAAGGTACATTCTCACACACTCTTCCTCGCCACGGACTATTTAGCACTCTGCTATCGAACGCTAACAATCAACTAGAAAAGGCAAAGACTTAGTTAAAATTTACTTAAATATAGATTTAAAACATTTTTAGTAGC